GGTAACAGATCTAAGTGCAGACAATAGTCACAAATTAATTCACATAAAAAGTAAAAACTTTCAGATGGGTAACTCACAAAGGTGGAGCCAATAGTACACCTGGCTCTTGTGGTAAACGCCTTAGGATCTTCTAGGGGAGATCCACTACCCTCTTTCTGTTCCTCCTGATGTCCTCCTCCTTCAATTTTGGTAGGAATGGAATTGCAGACTCCACAGGATGGTATAAACAGAATTTATTGATAAAAACATAAATTAAAACATCTAAAAACGAAAATGGATCAAAATACTTAAGATGAATCCAAAATGTTCCCAAAACGCGTTTCGCCAGTGGACTGGCTTCCTCAGTTGGTGTATTCATTATGTGTCCTCTTGTGTTTTTATACGAGTCGGAAATGATGAAATTGCCGGCATCTGCCGGACCGGAAGTTGACTTCGTGGAACGCACGCCGCACTAGTTGGAACGCACGTACACGCGTGCGTGCGTGCGTACGTGCGTACGTGTGTCAATCACATAATCAGGCTATTCCACTTCCTTCTTCTTCGTTGGAACGCACATGCGTTCCACAGTCTTAAATAGTGTAATCTAGCTATTTTACTTATGCGTTTTTCGTGGAGCGCACCATCTGCGTCCCATAATCTTTTTTCTTATAACAAGAGTCCTCAATTTTCCAGTCCATATAATCTCAAAAGAAAGTCAAATAGAGAAAAAAGGAAATAAGCTAATAAAATATATTATAGCATAAAAAGGCATTACCATTGATGTAAATAAAAGTGAACACCATTATTTCTATATGTGCATAACAATAATGGTGTACTCATGACTTATTTAAAAATACTTGTGTAAAAAACTGGAAGGGTGAGGAGAAATAGTATAATGTACCATTAGCTAACAACTATAATGCTTATCTCTTACTATTATAAAAAGTGGCATAATTCAAAGTCTAAATTTAATCCATGAGGGACCATGGTATTAAAATTAAAAATAAAGGACATTTCTTCCATCCCAATTTTCTTTATAAAATCTCCACCCCTCCAATTTTTTTTTACCAATTTGAGTGCGCAAAAGACAAGACCTTGTGGATTTTGGTGATGGTACTGTTTAAAATGCTGGGAAACACTGTGTGTGTCTACTCCTTTTTTGATGTTTCTCACATGTTCCGAAATTCTAATATGGAGGTATCTGATGGTTCTCCCTATATATATTTTGTTACATGGACAAATTAATAAATAAATGATATTTTTAGAGAAACATGTCAGCTGATCTTTTATTGTGAACTCTTTATTGGTAATTTCTTTTGTATTCTTTATATGTCTTTTTGTGCTTTTAGTCTCCCTACATGCTAAGCATGTTCCGCACCCATAAAATCCTTTATTCTTTGTTAAGAAGTTTTCATCTTCAACCTGATGATTTTTTAAATTGCTATTTACTAAAAAAAAATTTATATTTCTGCATCCCCTATGGACAATTTTAGGTCTCTCCGGTAATATTTCTTTTAGAATCGGATCGTCTTGTAATAGGTGCCAATATTTATTAATGGCGTGCCGTACTTTTTTATTATTGGCCGAAAAATTACAAATGAAGGGGATATTACATTTATTATTCTCTGTTCTCGCTTTTTTCTTTTTATATGTTAGCAATTCCTTTCGTTCTAATCTTTTTATTTCTTCTATACCCTTTTGGAGGTCTTCTTCTTCATATCCCTTTTCCAAGAATTGATTTTTAATAATATGAGTTTGTTGTAAAAAATCATCATCTTTTGTGCAATTTCTTTTTAATCTCATAAACTGGCTCTTGGGTGCATTTGTGAGCCATGGAGTGTGATGACAACTTGTGAGATCAATATAACCATTGCAGTCTACCTCTTTAAAAAAATTCTTAGTAAAAATGTTCCCTTCTTCTATAAAAACAGTAAGGTCTAGAAAGTTAATTGTCACTTTACTTTGTACAGAAGTGAGATAAATACCCCAATCATTACAATTCAAAAAACTCAAAAAATTAGTCAATTGTAGATCATCTCCCTTCCAAATAAAAAATATATCATCAATGTAACGGCGATAGGTGACCAAGTCCGCAAAAAATTCACTGTGTAAAATAAATGTCTCTTCCCAGTACGCCATAAAAAGATTCGCATAACTGGGTGCGAACTTGGTCCCCATCGCCGTTCCATTGATTTGGAGATAAAAACTCTCTTTGAACCAAAAGAAATCTATTTGATCTTGTTTGAAATTCGATTTATCTAAAAAATTGTTGTACTGCCTCTATTCCCTTTGTATGTGGCATTATGCTATAAAGTGAGCTTACATCACACGTAACCAATGTGTAATGTTCTTCCCATTTAATCTCTTCTAAAATTTGTAAGATATGTATTGTGTCTTTAAGGTACGTTGGATTCTTAATTACTACCGGTTGAAGTAGAACATCTATATACTCTGAAACTCTCGATGAGATACTTTCTACCCCAGAGATTATAGGTCTACCTGGTGGGTTAATTAAATGTTTGTGCATCTTTGGCAAACAGTAGAACACTGGAATCTGAGGATTAGAAATAGTCAGATATTTAGCTTCTGCCTCTGTTAGAATGTCGTTTTCTAATCCTTTATTGATATATTCTTTAAACTTCGTTATAATCTCCTGACTCGGATTACGTGTTAGTTTTTTATATGTTTTGAACATCCGACAGTAATCTCTCTGCTTCCCCTACATATTTGTCTTTAGACAAAATGACTACCTCTCCCCCCTTATCTGCAGGTTTTATAATTAAATTATCATCTTTTTGTAACTTCTTTAATGTTTTAGTCTCTGCTAGTGTAAGATTTTTTTGATATTTATTTGTATGTTTAATTTTCTTGACCTCTTTCATAATCATGGTTTCAAAGGTTTTGATTTCACTTGAAATCATGTTTCTTGGGAAGAATTT